GGCCTCAGCTTGGCGGTGATCGTCCTATCCTGCGCGGCGAGCGGGTCAAAACTGCGGCAGACATCAAACTTGCAGAAACACTCCCAGCAAGGAACAGCCGAAACTCCCAGCCCCGAACCACCTCCCGGAGCCCCTCCCCTGCCCGTGATCGGACGTGTGCCCCCAACGTAGAGATCCGCATGCTCCGCCCTGCCGAAGATGGTACGCCGGGCGTCCAAACAGCCGTGCCCCAACCCTGGATTCAGCTACTGAATGCCAACCCTAAACCCTAAACCCTAAACCCTAAACCCTAAACCCTAAACCACTAATGCAGTCAACGATTCCTTTAAGCGCTCCATTTACTGGCTGCTCTCACACAGCACGGTCCTTGCGGATCAGCTGCCGCACCCAGACGATCGTTGAGGTCGTGCCTGCAGAACGACAAAGGTTGGGGGTTTAGGGTTTAGGGTTTAGGGTTTAGGGTTTAGGGTTTAGGGTTTAGGGCTCCTACAGGCTCGGCTGGGAGCAAAAGTCACGGACTCAGGGACTCAAGAGAAAGAGGATACAGAGAGGAGAAAATCCCCCGACGGGGAGCATTCCACCGGCCTCGTTCCCACGCACGCGCCAAGGTTCCCATGCTGATGTACAGTACGCCGAACCTGCCTTGCTCAAATGCGTGGTTGAGCGCAATGTATCTGCGGAGAATCCTGCCCGGTTCCAGATTAGGACGCGATCTGTCGACGATGATGAGGTAGATGATGCTAGGGTCCTTGATGTCATGACTGTCAGCACACTCTGCTCCTGCATGAACCATCTCGGCAATTCGTCCAAGTTGGTACAGTTTGGCACTGAACGGTTTTGAGTTGATGCAGAATTCGGCAATGCACATGCCCTCCTTCTGTTGAGGCTCCAGGAGCCATTCGCCCATCTCCAACTTGCTCGGCGATAGGCTTCCAACACCATCCAGCTGGGCGAGCACGAACTTATCACTGCCGATGTTGTAGTCGCACTCCACTGTGGCGAGGTCTCGCTGGAGCCGGTGATGAGCTCTTTTCAGTCTGCATGCAACCTCCTCGGCAAGGCCATCTTGTAGTTTAATATGCGTTGAAGCTAAGCTGAAGAGTCGTCGGATAGTGTCTTCAAACTCTCTGCCATTCTGGTCGCCTTCTGTGCCGCTGCTGAACGGTTGACCATTTTCCAGTGTCAACTCGTTTGGGCCGCCCCACGCTTGCCAAATGCCATCCTCATCGTCGTCAGAATCGAACTTCTGTTCTCGACGCTGTCGAAGTCGATGTCGCTTGTCTCCTCGACTTTGATGCCGCAAGTTCCGATGACGACACGCGGATGACACGTCGCTTTGACCCATGCTTACTTCCAGAACTAAACACCTCAAACCATGTCGTGATTTTAGAGCATATACTGACTGGCTACACAGTGCGCGAGCATGCTGCAGGCGTGTAGGGTTTGGGGTTCAGGGTTTGGCATTAGGGTTTGGGGTTTCGGGCGTTGATATAAGACTTCAAGGCACAATGCCTAGGGTTTGGGGAACCATGCGGCAATACGTGAAGTCGCAGCCAAGCCCTTGCGGCCGTGGAAGCTCAAATGCCCTTCGGGTTTAGGGTTTAGTTTCGGGTTTGGGTATCCCTGCGTTCCTATTCGTTCGTCTACTAGCAGTCCTGTCTCACTGACATCTGACTAGGCTCCTTTGACTGCACGAAACGCGGCCAGGTCACTACAGAGGTGTTTCGACTGAACCCCGATAGCGGGCCCCAACCCTGGTTTCAGCTATACTGAGTGCCAATGATGTAGTTGAGACAGCGTGCCCCTCGTTGTCAAACGCAAAAACCACTCCAGCCCTTCAGAAACGCGGCATTTGACAGCGGGGGCTGGCGTGGCCGGTGGGGCGCTTGGGGAGCTGGCGGGGCGCTGTGCTCCAGCAGGGCCGCGGATGTGGGCTGCCGGGGCGCTGGTGGGGCGGTGGGCGTCAAACAAAACAGACGCCTAAACACACAGCAGCGCAGGCAAACTCTTCCACACTCCATTGATACCATGCAGTAAAAAGGATCCAGGCCCGTTGAGTGCAACAGAGGATGATGAGGACCTAAGCAAGCGTGGAGTGGGAAAAATGCAAGATCAGAGGGTCTACAAGCGATGTTGCGGAACATGCGCACTTTTCTGATGCCTCCACGGCCGTGCTGGACAAGCAGGTGTGGCATCAATCTGGCCCTTGATCGCTGACGCTGCACTTTTTC